CACCGTCATCATCATCATCATCATCATCATAAACATCATCAGCAACGTCAGCATCATCATCGGGACAGCATCATCATCATCACCATCACCATTTCATCATCAACATCATCCTCATCATCGGGACACAGTCATCGTCATCATCATCAACAGCATCACCATAATCATTATCATAATCGGGACACCATCATGATTACCATCGTTCTCATCATCAATAGTATCATCAACATCGTCATCATCCTCGGGACACCATCATCATCATCATGATCATCGCATCACCATCATCGACATCATCATCAACAACATCATCATTGGATAACCATCATCATCATGAACAACATCATCATCAACATCGTCATCCTCATTCTTATCATCATCGGGACACCATCAGCATCACCATGATCATCATCATACGCATCATCGGGACACCATACTCATCATCAACATCATCATCATCATCATCAACATCATCATCGTCGGGACACCATTTCCATCAACATCATCATCACCAACATCATCGGAATCATCATCATCATCATCATCACCATCGGGACACCATCATCGTCATCATCATCAACATAATCATCATGAGCATCATCGTCCTCATCATCGGGACACTATCACCATCGACACCATCATCAACATCATCATCATCTTCATCGGGGCACCATCATCATCATCTCATCATCATCACCATCGAAATCTCATCATCATCATTATCACCCTCGCGGGACACCGCGGGACACCGGCGGGACACCGCGGGACACCGCGGGACACCTGCGGGACACCGCGGGGCCCCGCGCCCCGCATGAGAAACATTTGGTCCGGCCGCGCCTCAGCCACAGGAGGACACCGCGGGACACCGGCGGGACACCGCGGGGCCCCGCGCCCCGGAAGAGAAACGTTTGGTCCGGCCGCGCCTCAGCCACAGGAGACTTTTCTCGCCCGCCCACGCAGCTTCGCCTCGCACGCACGGCACGCACGAACACGAAACCGAAACCGATTTCCCGGTGGGGGGCTCGCCGTTCCACTTCGATCTCACCCCCTCACCTTCGATAGCCCAATAGCCCAAAAGCCCAATAGCCCCATAGCCCCATAGCCCTACAGCCCTATAGCCCTATAGCCCTATGGTCCTAAAGCCCTATAGCCGTATATAGCCCAATAGCCGTATAGCCCGAATAGCCTTATAGCCCTATAGCCCTATAGCCCTGTAGCCCTATAGCCCCATAGCCCTAAAGGCTTCTAGCCCTATATTCCTGTGGCCACATCGCCCTATAGCCCTATAGCCCCATAGCCCTAAAGTCCCATAGCCCCCCAAAATTCTGATTGGGTTTTCTCTGGTATCATATGAGTAGTAGTAGTAGTAGTAGTAGTAGTACTAGTAGTAGGAGTAGTAGTAGTAGTAGTAGTCGTAGTAGTAGTAATAGTAGTAGTAGTAGTAGTAGTAGTACTAGTCTTCGTCGTAGAAGTAGTGGGCGAATTGGAAATCGTAGTAGTAGTAGTAGTAGTAGTAGTAGTAGTAGTAGTAGTAGTAGTAGTAGTAGTGGTAGTAGTAGTAGTAGTGGTAGTAGGGATAGTAGTAGTAGTAGTAGTCGTAGTCGTACGGATGATCTTACGCGTAGTCGTAGTCGTAATGATAGAAGTAGTAGTCGTAGTCGAAGTAGAGCTCGTAGTAGTAGCAATAGTAGTAATAGTAACAGTAGTGGTAATAGTAGTAGTATGAGCAGTAGAAGTAGTCGGAATGGTAGAAGTCTTGGTGGTAGTAGTAGTAGTAGTAGTACCAGTACCAGTAGTAGTAGTAGTAGTAGTAGTAGTAGTAGTAGTAGTGGTAGTACTACTAGTAGTAGCATTACTAGAAGTAGTCGTAGTAACAGTAGTAACAGTAGTAGTAGTAGTAGTAGTAGTAGTAGTAGTAGTAGTAGTATTAGTAGTAGTAGTAGTAGTAATAGTAGTAGTAGTAGTCGTAGTAGTAGGAATGGTAGTAATAAATCGTAGTAGTAGTAAAAGTGGAAGTAGTAGTCGTAGTAGTAGTAGTAGTAGTAGTAGTAGTAGTAGTAGTAGTAGTAGTAGTGTAGTAGTAGTAATGATAGTAGTACTAACAGTAGCAGTAGTAATAATACTGGCTGCAGTAGTAGTAGTGGTAGTCGTAGTAGTAGCAGTAGCAGTAGTAGTAATAGTAGTAGTAGTAGTCGAAGTAGTAGTAGTGGTAGTAGTAGTAGTAAAAGTAGTAGTAGTAGTGGTAGTAGTGGCAATCGTAATGGTGGTGGCAGTCGTAGTAGTAGTAGTAGTAGTAGTAGTAGTAGTAGTAGTAGTCGTAGTCGTAGTCGTAGTGGAAGTAGTAGTAGTAGTAGTAGTAGTAGTAGTCGTCGTCGTCGCAGTGGCAGTAGTAATGGTAGTGGTAGTATTAGGAGTAGTCGTAGTGGGAGTAGTAGTGGTAGTAATTAGTAAAAGTAGCCGCCGTCGTAGGAATCTTAGCCTCAGTCGTGGTAGTAGTCTTAGTTGTAGTAGTAGTATTGGCGTCAGTAAAGGAAGAAGAAGTAGTGGTATAATCAGACGGAAACATATAAGTAATAGTAGTTGTAGTAGTCGTCGTAGTAGTCGTAGTAGTGGTCGTCGCAATAACAGTAGCAGGTGTAGCGGTAGTAATCGTAGTCGTAGTGGTAGTAGTCGTAGTCGTAGTGGTAGTAGTCATAGTCGTAGTGGTAGTAGTAGTAGTTGTAGTAGTAGTAGTAGTAGTAGTAGTAGTAGTAGTTGTAGTAGTAGTTGTAGTAGTAGTAGTAGTAGTAGTAGTAGAAGCAGTCAGAGTAGTAGTAGTAGTAGTAGTAGTAGTAGTAGTAGTAGTAGTGGTAGTAGTAGTAGTAGTAGTAGTGGTATTAGTAATCATAGTAGTAGGAATACTAGTAGTAGTAGTAGCAGGAGTAGTAGTAGTAGTAGTAGTAGTAGTCGTAGTAGTAGTAGTAGTAGTAGTAGTAGTAGTCGTAGTAGTAGTAATAGTAGAAGTAGTGGTAGTGGTAGTGGTAGTAGTAGCAGTAGTAGTAGTAGTAGTAGTAGTAGTAGTAGTAGTCGTAGTAGTCGTAGTATTAGTAGTAGTCTGTAGTAAAAGCCGTCGTAATAGTACTCTAAGTCGTAGTCGTGGTTGTAGTCGTAGCTGCAGTAGTCGTAGTAGTAGTAGTCGTAGTAGTAGTAGAAGTAAACTAGAAGTACGAGTATAAGTATTCGCAGTAGTAGAGTAGTAGTAGTAGTAGTAGTCGTAGTAGTAGTAGTAGTAGTAGTAGTTAGTAGTAGTAGTAGTAGTAGTAGTAGTAGTAGTTGTAGTAGTAGTAGTAGTAGTAGTAGTAGTAGTAGTAGTAGTAGTAGTAGTAGTAGTAGTAGTAAGTGGTCGTCGTCGTAGTCGTAGTCGTAGTAGTCGTAGTAGTAGTAGTAGTAGTAGTAGTAGTAGTAGTCGTAGTAGTAGTAGTAGTAGTAGTAGTACTACTACTAGAAGTAGTAGTAGTAGTAGTAGTAGTAGTAGTAGTCGTCGTCGTAATAGTCGTACTCGTCGTAGTCGTCGTAGTAGTACTAGTAGAAGTAGTAGAAGTAGTAGTAGTAGTAGTAGAAGAAGAAGAAGTAGTAGTAGTAGTAGCAGGAGTAGTAGTAGTAGTAGTAGTAGTAGTAGTAGTAGTAGGAGCAGCAGTAGTAGTAGTAGTAGTAGTAGTAGTAGTAGTAGTAGTAGTAGTAGTCGTAGTAGTAGTAGTAGTAGTCGTAGTCGTAGTCGTGGTGGTGGTTGTCGTAGAAGTAGTGGTGATCTTAGTAGTTGTAATCATACATACTAGTAATCCTCGTGCGCTCTTCCTCTTCCTTCCTGCGTTCTCCATCTTCCTTCCCACTTTCTCCCTCTTCCTACGCACTCCTCCCTCCTGCGTCTCCTCCCTGGCGTTGCCCCTTAGCTTTCGGATTTCGGGCCACAACTCGGCTTCTCGTCGGCCGTTCGGGACGAGCCTGGCACTCCCGGGACGCTTTCGGCGAGGAGCAGCTGCTTGAAACCATCCCGAGGCTGGAAAACCAGTGGTGACAAACTCGACAGATATTGAAAACATCAGACACCTCGAATCCGAAACTTTCCTTCTCCCTCCTCCGTCGCCTCCTCCCACTTCCCTCCTCCCTCTCCCTTCCTCCCTTCCTCCCTCGTCCCTCCTCCTCCTCCTCCTCCTCCTCCTCCTCCTCCTCCTCCTCCCTCCTCCTCCCCCTCTTCCTCCTCCTCCCTCCGTCCTCCTCATCCTCCTCCTCCTCCTCCTCCTCCTCCACCTCCTCCTCCTCCTCCTCCTCATCCTCCAAATCATCATCCTATTTCTCCTCTATCTCCTCCTCTTCCTCCTCCTCCTCCTCGTCCTCCTCCTCCTCCGCCCTCCTTCCTCCTCGTCTCTCGTCCTTCGCCCCTCCTCCCTCCTCCCTCCTCTGTCCTACCTCCTCCCTCCTCCCCCTTGCTTCCCCCCTCCTCCGGGGAAAAACGACGTCGACTCCCCGGCGGGCGGGCGCCTGGCCGACCGCTGCTTCGGGACGATGGTCCGGCCTGCGGCCGGGAGGCGTCCTCCTCCTCCTAAACCTGCTAGACCTGCTCCCCACCCCATCAAACCTCTCCTTCCCTCCACCCACGTCCTTCCTTTCCCCCCCCACCACCTCCCTCCTTTCCCCCCCCTCCTTTCCTCCCCCTTTTCCTCCTCCTCCTCCTCCTCCTCCTCCTCCTCCTCTTCCTCTGCCTCCTCCTCCACCTCCTTCTTCTCCTCCTCCTCATCCTTCCCGTCCTCCTCCCCGTCTTCCTCGTCGTTGTGGGTGTCCTCTTCTCCTCCTCGTCCTCCTCCTCCTCCTACTTCTCATCCTCCTTCTCCTCCCTCTTCTCTTCCTCTTCCTCTGCCTCCTCCTCCTCCTTCTCATCCTTCCTGTCCTCCTCCCCGTCTTCCTCGTTGTCGTCGTCCTCTTCTCCTCCTCGTCCTCCTCCTCCTTGTTCACCCCAGTCCTCCTCCTCCCCGCAGACGGATGCCTTCTCTGTCCCTCCTCCCCAAGGTGGATCGGCGGCAAGCCGCGCCCATCCACACGAGAGGGCGGAGCGCCGCTGCGCGCAGGGATGCCCTGGCCTCTGGCTTCCCGGAAGTCCATCGTAGGTTCCCCCAGCTTGGCCGTGCGCGGCATGATCCCTACTGGGACGTAGCCGGCCTCTCGCGCGGCAGCGTCGTCGCCGTTGTCGTCGCCGGCGTGTTGGCACGACCGCTCCCAAATCTCTGGCTACAGGTTTTCCCTGGACTTCTCATGCTGGGGTTCGTTTTCTGGCCCCAGGTCGGAGCTCGATCCGCGCCAGACCCCCCTGGCGGCCCCTCCGGCGTTGCCCCTGGCGCACTCCGCGCGCCAGGAAGGGGGTTCTGGCGCTGATCCCAAAAACTCGCGCGGATTCTTGAATGTTTATATTTTGTGTTTAATCAATGTGTCTACATCTAGATGACGGGGAAAATTACAATTTTGGGCGTCTTAGGAAGCTTTCAGGGGGTCGTTCTGGCCGCTTCAGAGCTTCATGGAGGTGCACCCGCCTAATTCCCGTTCCCGCTCTCCCTCCTATCCCCCTCCTCCCTATTTTTTCAAGCTTCTCCCCTCCTCCGCGTCGTCCCTGTCCTCCTCTTCCTCCTCTTCCTCCTCCTCCTCCTCCTATGGGTTCGCCGCTGTTCTATATTCGCATTCATTCCTACCCTACTCCGCCAAACCAGCGGGGCAAACCTGGAACAATGACGCCGCCCCAACGCCATCCCTAAACAAAAATAACTAAAAAACAATTCGTGCGACGTCCTTTCTTATGGAACCGTTGCGTGCTCGAACTGGACGAGCCAACCAGGGCAACTGACCAAAGCGGCCAGACCAGCCCAAAACATTAAATAATCATTCCAAGACGCGCGAGGTCGCCAAGCAGACGAACCAAATCAACCAAACCAGCCGGGCCAACCAGCCCGCGCAAAAAGAAAATATCGTTCCAATGCGCACGAGGCAACTGGGCCAACCGGCCAGATTGACCAAAAAAACCAAACCGCGCCGCAGACGCTCGAAGATCGCTCCAATACGCCCACGGTTACATCTACCACCACTCTGCCACTACTACTGCTGCTGCTAAATCTTGGACCATGCGCGGGCATCTTGCGATCACTTTGCCTTGTCTTGCGACTTGGACGGCGGGAAGGCTGGGCGTGTGCAGGGCCACCATACACTATGACGCATAAGCTGTCGCCATTTTACATGGTTTTGGCATCGATAGTGGGAGGTCGGCATGCTTCCCGATGTATGCTGTCACGTGCGCTGGCTCGCCGCGCCGCCAGGTCCGCCACGTACGCGCCGCGCACGTGGCGCACTTGGCGCGGCTGGAGCACGTGGCGCACGTGGAGCGCGTGGCGCATCTGGCGCACCAAGCGCGCCTGACACGCTTGGGCCCCATGGGCGCCTGGCACAGATGGCGCGCGTGGCGCAACTCGCCAGAGATGCGCACCTGACGTCTGTAATGGGTCCAAGTGCCTATCCATCCATTGACGAGCGCTGAATTCTGCTGAGAATCGGGTGCTACTTAGATGTGGTGGGAGGGCGGGTGGAAATGAGCGAGACAGCGTGTGGCTTGTCGTACACCCCCTGCCCCAACTGACCAGGGGCGAACCTGGATGCATGACACACCCCCGACCATTCTCGTCAAGAGACTATAGAAACATCACTTTGAGGCAAGATATGGATCATGCGCCGGCACCCCGCAATCTTTTCACCTTCTTTTGGACAAAGACGAGAAAGGGTGGGGCTGGCATATTGCCTGCTGCGCGCAGGCCCATCACCCGTCAAAAACAATACGAAATCCGCCGACCCTGTCGGCGTGTGGAAGACGCTCTTCCGTTCGTCGTCGTCGTCGTCGTCGTCGTCGTCGTCGTCGCCGCTTCCCGCCATCTCTCCCTTGGCCCGACTCCCCAAGCGAGCTAGCCAAAGCGAAATCAAGCAGCAACGTCGTAGTTGAATCGAAGGAGAACTCCTTCCCTTTGGTCCCCTCCCCGCCGGAGAAGGGGGGGTCGGCGGGGGGGTCCTGGGAGGGGTCCAGGAGGGGTCTCTCGGGGGGGGCCCAGGGAGGGTCCCAGGGGGATCCCGGACGGGGTGCTGAGGGGGACTCGTGGCAAGTCCCGGGTCAGAACGCCTCCCCCCCGGGGGGTCCCCCAAGCCTATAACCCCCCATGACCGTACAAGATACAAGGCTGCCCCAAGAGGTCACCAAGACGGTCCAAGAGGGCCCCGAGTCGCCGAACTATCGGTCCAAGATGCCCAAGTAGCCCCCAGATGGCTCAAGAGGTTTCCAAGACAAGATGCCCCAACAGGCCTCCCAGAGCACACCCAAGAGGGCCCCAGGGGCTGAAAAACATTGACTTTCTTATGTTGTTTGGTGCATTTTGGGGTTCTCGCCTTTTCGGCCTCCCGACGCTCCAAAACGGCCCAAGAGGCCTCCAAGATCGCCCCAAGATGGCCCAATAAGCCTCCAAGAGGGCCCCCAAACGACCCCAGATGGCCCCAAGACGGCCCAAGAGGCCTGCAAGACGGCCTAAGAGGCCCCCAAGACGGCTCCGAGAGGGTGCCCAGACAGGGGAACCGAACGGACCTTTCGAGCCCTCGGCCTGCGGGGCTGCCAGAAGCGCCAAGAAGCTCCCAAGGTGCCCAGACACCCGAGAGGCCCCCAGGATCGGCCCACGAGACCCCCCAGGAGCCTCCCAGCAGGCCCCCAGGAGGCCCCCAAGGGGGCCCCCCGACTGCCCCCCCAGGAGGCCTCCGAGGGCGCTTTCGAGGAGACCCCAAGATGCATCCCTGAGGACTCTGACGGGTCGGCGGCGCTCGGCAGAATCTTCATCACGCGCGGGCGCCCCGGAGGAGGAGGAGCAGGAGCAGGAGGAGGAGGAGGAGGAGGAGGAGGAGGAGGAGGAGGAGGAGGAGGAGGAGGAGGAGGAGGAGGAGGAGGAGGAGGATTTCGCAAGAGGATGGGGGGGGTGTCCTGGCGCGCGCGGCACACACCTCGCGGGCGTCGCGCACTGCGTCCGGCTGATTGTCGCTGGCGGGGCCTGCCCACGCTAGGACTCGGGAGCTACTTCTGTCGGGGGCGCGCAAACATGGATTATCGGGTCGGGCAAAAGGGGGGGATAGCAAAGGGGGGGTTTGAGAACCAGCTCACGTAGCTGATTTTCCCGGCGCCTCCCGGCGCCAGAGGCGGCTATGTATCAAGGAATGGGCCCCTCGGCGAGGCCGAAATCAGCTGCATGCAGCAAATCTCGTAACCCTCCCTTTCCCAAACCCCCCCTTTCGCCCGGCCCGAGATTAGCGATCCATGGACTTGGCGCGCGGTCGCCAGATCCATGGATCGGGGGAGGTGCCCTCCCCAAAATGCGGCCGGTGCCGCCTCGTTCAGCGGCGTGAATCCGCGATTTCCAGTGGAAACGGGCCCCGCCGCTAATCCACGCCCCCTTGATCCATGTTTTCGATCGCCTGAGATAGCTTGTCCCCTCCTCCTATGCTCCCTCCCCCTGGATCTGGACGGGGAGGGGGGAGGGGCGGGGAGCAGGCAGAGCAGTCAAGACGGCCCAAGATCGCCCTAAGGTGGCCTCAAGGAGCTCAAGGTGACCTCCAAGATGGCACGCGATTTTTGGAAGATGGCTCAGACTTGCTTTCAAAGACACTTCCATTACGGTTCCAAATGGCCAAGGAGCCTCCCAACGAGGCTCCAAACAAACGAACGTTACATTCTCCTCCTTTCGATTCTGATGGGCTTCAGAGGCCTCCAGATGGCTCTTCATTGCCCAAGAGAGTCCCCAGAGGCCCAGGGGGGGCCCGACACGGCCCCAATTGCGCCCGAAGTCCGAAGAGGGTCCCCAGATGCGATTATTGAGGCTCCTGAGGCACAAAAGCTAATCAAGGAACCCTCTTCTTTAATACGCCGACACCTTGGGGTTCATCGGCGTGTGGGATGGTCTCCCCTCCCCGAACCTCTCCCCCTGGGAGCCCGGTCCGGTCGATTTGGCGGGGTCCCCCCAGGGACCGCTCAAAACTTCTCACGGGGGTGCAGAGGGCTCCAAAACAAGCCAAGAGGGTACCAAGATGCCCTCAAGAGAGCCACAGGCTGCCGAAAGACCCACCCCAAACGCCCACGCTAGCCTCCAGACGGCCCAAGGGGCCCCAAGACGCCCCAGGAAGCCCTCAAGAGGCGTCCCGAGACGGCCTCAAAGAACAATAATCAACCCATCCCCATCGGAAAACGTGTATTTTTTTAGCACATTCGCCTCTTGTGAGTTCGCAGCGTCCAACACAGCCCAAGAAGCCTCCTGGATCGCCCCAAGACGGCACAAGAGGCCTCCAAGATGGCTCCCAGACGACCCAAGTGGGACCCAAGGCCGCTCAAGAAGACCCCAAGACGACCCAGAGCTGGTTTCAGGACAGCCCGAAAGAGGGGGCCCAGTGGGGGAACCCGAACGAACATTTCGAGCCTTCGACCCCCAACCGCCCCCTGGCAGCTCCAAGAAGCCCGCAACAGGCTCCCAGGGAGCTCCGAGAGGCCCGAAAGTAGCTCCCAAGAAGCCTCCAGGAGGTCCCCGAGTGGTTTAAAGACTGTCTCCAGGACGCCATCGAGACGCCTCCGACGAGACCCCGCCTGCCACCCGCGTGGCCTCAAGCCCGCAGCCCGGGCACGGTGCCGGGATGCGCCGAAGGCTATTCGACAATCAGAATCGGGGATCTTCTGACCCGGGTCAATCCAGACCTGGGTCAGCAGGAAACTTAAAACTGAAATGCAGGACAAAAAAAAAAACTCCAACGCAGATATTCGCAAACCCGGGTCAGCCAATATGCGCGGCCGCCTCGCGGCCACGAGCGGCTCGCTAACCCGAGTCAGCCAGAGGGGGTCTTCGCAGGATCCTGCAGGATCCGGTGCCCTGGCTGATCCCCGTTTGCATTGACCCCCGTCTCCAGGCTCCCGACAGCAGAGCTCCAGGAAGCCCCGGTCCGCCGCCATCTCGGGAGCACCGGGCGGGTGCTTTTCTGCGGTGCCCGGCGTGCTGGCTCCTGCCCGGACGGTGGAGCCGAGGGGCAGGGTAGAGAGGAGGAGGAGGAGGAGGAGGAGGAGGAGGAGGAGGAGGAGGAGGAGGAGGAGGAGGAGGAGGAGGAGGAGGAGGAGGAGGAGGAGAGGAGAGGAGGAGGAGGAGGAGGAGGAGGAGGAGGAGGAGGAGGAGGAGCAACACACAACAATCGCCAGTCCCCAAAGGGGTCGGCGGTGTGGCGTAAGCCTGAGAATCTACGTCCTCCAAGACGGCCCAGAGAGGGCGCCCACACCTCCATCCTCGTCATACTGCTCCCATTACGGCTCCTTTCGTTCGTTTCCTCAACTTCTCCTCCTCGTCGTTCTCCTCCTCCTCCTCCTCCTCCTCCTCCTCCGCCTTCTTCTGCTCCTCCTCCTCCTCCTCCTCCTCCCATCTTCTTCCTCGTTCCTCTCCTCTCCCTTACTGTCGTTGCACAACGACGGCGACGGTGATGATGACGACGACGGGAGTCGAGAGTAAAGGCCTGTCCAAGAGAAACCTCATACGCCGCCCAAGCGAGAGGTCCCCAAACCTATATTGTTAAATCGGCGACGTTGTCGCTGGTGCCACCGCCGTCTTCCTCCTCCTTTTCCTCCTCCTTTTCCTCCTCCTTTTCCTCCTCCTCCTCCTCCTCCTCCTCCTCCTCCTCCTCCCCCTCCTCCCAACATTTTCTCCTCCTCCATCTCCTCCTGCTCCTCCTTATGATCCTCCCACCTAGGGTCAACCAAACATTGAATGGACAACTGTTCCTTCATACCCATTTTCCGTCGGCTACTCTTCCTCGTCCTGCTTCCCCTCTTCCTCCATCGTCCTGCTTCATCCTGTTGACTTACTCCTTGTCCTCCACCTCCGCCTCATCCTCCTCGTCCGACAGGGCAGCGCAAACAGATACGTTCACTCCAGGGTCTGCTCAAACTGGTCCCAGACTTCTGTTTCAAAACTTGTCACCGCTCTTGGTTCCGCTGCATGCTCCTAGAGTTCCCTAATCATGGAGACAACTCGCCTGAACGTCGATACTGGATGGGCTGGTGGGGATACCTGAAGCGTCAACTATAGCTCTATACGAGAACGTGCATCCCCGTCTTTCGCTCCCCCCTTCTCCTCCTCCTCCTCCTCATCCTCCTCCTCCGCCTTCACACCAATCCCAACATCAATGTGACCACCACCCTCATCACAACCATCCCCTCCCTCCCCCCTTGGATTTATATATAACCGCAATGGCACCTCATCCCGTCCGACGGTCCACGTTCCACAGGATGCTCTTGCCCTTTCGCAGGCGCTCAAAATGTTCACGGCCAGGAAGCAGCTGATACGAGAAATCCTTGCACCCCTTCGGGGTCATCGGCGTGTGCGACTGGTTCCCCAGTCTTTCCCTTCTCGGAGGGCCTCCGCCAACTCCTCCTGCTGCTCCAACTGTGAGTTACACCCTCCTCTTACTCCTCCTCCCAGTCCTCCTCCTCCTCCTTCTCCTCCGCCTCCTCCTAATCTACAATTTCTCAATATGAATACTACTCTCCCTCTTCCCCTGATGACGGCTTGGGAGTATTCCCCTGATGACACCTTGGGAGTATTCTTCCCCTGAATTTCTGCTTCTGGCGCCCGGGAGGCCTCCCGGGCCGATTCCGACTCCCGGGCCGGCGCCCGAGCCAGCGCCCGGGCCGGACGCCCGAGCCGGCGCCCGCGCCGGCGCCCGGGCCGGGTCCGGAGCCGGTTCCGGCCGGCGCCGGAAAATGGAGTTCCGAGGCGGCGCCGAAAAAAGGCCATTCCAATATATTTTGTTTTCTTTTGAAAATGCTGAATTTCTGCTTCTGGCGCCCGGGAAGCCTCCCGGGCCAATTCTGGCGTGCTTCCGCTCGTTCCGAATCGTGCTCCCGCAGCAACGCGCTGGCCTCATTTCCGCGCTTCCGCTCGTTTCGACTCGTGCTCCCGCTGCAGCGCTGCCGTCATTTCCCGTGCTTTGCCACGGCATGCAATGCAATGCTAGGTTTATACTACGCTTCGCGGTGCTCTTCTACGCCATGCCATGCCGTGCTCTACAATGCATCGCGTACCCTTTCGGGATCATTGCCCTGCTCGACATCCGACTGTGCGAGTAGAGAGGGGATCTGCGCCATGGTAAGGGATGGGAGGGAGGGGTAGGATGTCAGATATGACGCGAGCGCACCTAGCTTGTCCTACCCCCTCCTCTTCTTCCTCCTCATGATCCTGCTCCTGGGCCTGAGGGTGTGTTGGTGTACGTTGCCGACACTGCTGAGGTTTGTAGAGGGTGGTGGCAAGCATCGTATTCACGACCTGTGGGCCAGAATGCAGACTTGTGGAGGGCCATCAACGGCCATCTGCTACGCCAGGCGCGGTCTCCGGCAGATGTGATTGTGCTTCAGGTGTCTTCGCACGTCTCCCCGTAGGAGTATTTTTTGGGGAAAACAAACCTACCTCGCTTTTGACCACCCTCGCTTCCAAGAGATACCAAACGATGCCAAATTGCGGCCTGTACTGGTCAGGCCGCTTGACGAGGAGGCGCGTGGTATGGCTTGGTTTTGCCTGGAAGCGAAAGCGGGGTAGGTAATTGACGCTCTGATATTTAGCTCGTGGCATCGCGAGTTGGCCAGTGCCTGGAAATTAAGTTGCTGATACGCTGGCGGAGGCAGCGGCAACAGCATGCAGGGTGCCCCTGGGTCTCCCAGGACGCGGGTGGCCACGGTCGAGGGTGCTGCGTCGTTTGTTCGGCGACGATGGCTGCGAGCTGCTCTTCTGGTTACTCGGCATGGGGCGCAGCAAGAAGCGAGAGGCGAAGGTAGCGAGGATTGTTGAGGGAGTGCCGGAGGTTCCTCCACCTCCTCTTCCGCCGCCTCCCCATGCTCCCAATATTGTGGCACGCTTCGCGACTGCACACACTCGAGGGGAAGACAGGAGGTCGTGTACAGTGTGTAGGGGTAGTGCATCCATATCGTGCGCGAAGGCCTGGCTAAACAATGACTGTTTGTCGTTGGATGATGTGGATGCTGGCGGTTGGGTAAACCCTCACATTCCATGTTTCATCACGTGTCGCTCAGAATTTGGTGTTGTCCTCGTGCAGCTACTTCCGACGTGCCGTGCAAGCCATTTGCCATTCCTGAGAACCGTCGAGAATATCTCGATCGAATTTCACGTGATCTCCTTCTTCCCCCATGTTGGACTGAGTGCGGAAGTTCGTATTGTCATCTGTCAAGGCGGTACTCCTGGTAATCCTGATCCTGTTCCTGCTCTCCCTCCTCCTCTCCCTCCTCCTCCCTTTTCTGCCGGTCCCCCCGCTTCGCCACCCACCATCCCCTCCTGCCTGTCCTGCTGCTCCTGCTGCGCCTCGTCCCTCCACGGAGGGCGCCGAGCAGACATCTAGCCTGCACCGACCTTAGACCTCCTGGAGCCTCTTGGGGCCTCCTGGGGCCTCCCATGTCCTAGGGCTCCTTGAAGATTCAAGGGTCTGCAACTGCCCTGAAGCCGAATATCTGCCAGGAGTCAGCCATCAAGAACGAAGCCCCGTTTTGGCTCCAATTACGCGCTAGATGTACGACAGAATTCCGGATACGATACCTGCGGGATCCCGAGCCCCTGCAGAAACGAAAACGATTCTTACTCCAACCTTTCGGCTGCACCACGTGTTTGACGGGGCCTGACAAAGGCAAGGGCTCAGAAGTCCGCGCGGATTCCTCGGATCAGCGCTGGGGCACCCTGTCGGCGCCTCTGGCGCCGCCTCTGGCGCGCTCCGTGCGCCAAGGAGGGGGGTCCAGCGCCGATGCGAGAAATCCGCGCGGACCTCCGACAATGTATCTTGATGTCATTGCTGCTTCCCCGAACTCTGGACAACAATGTCATACAGTGTGTATTGTCGAGTGCATCTTCTGTTTCGAACTCAAACAGCCATGCCACCACATATACCTTCCATTGCGTACATTTCGTTGATGGGCCGGCGGATGTAGCGTTAATTGAGGCATCGCGCTTCTGCATTGGACTTCGATAGGGAATCACTTTGATACCATTGAGCTGCTGCTTCCCAGTGGACATCACCTCAAGCATGTCTCGCATACCCTCGAGCACGATGTCGCAACAGAACTCCATCGGTGCGTAAGCCACGTGTAGAGCCTTCCGCCAACATGGCATCGACGTGAGCGCATTGGCATCGACTTTCACAATGATCCTGTCTTCCTCTAGAGAACCCAGAGCAGCAAAATCACCATCTGCACTATCTCCCTTGGAGCGATTTCGTCTTCGCGAAGACAGAAAGCAAGATATGGGGCAATTGTTCGAGAAACCCCCATCCAAACCACGCTGTCCGCGCCAAGTGGTGAAGGGCCCATCGCACAAAATGAACGGTATAGACATGCTGGCGCATATAGTCTCCTCAAGATCTTCTGGTGATGCAAACTCAGATACAACATTCTCCACGAGACCGCTGCGACCCAATGTGGTCACATTGATAAACAATGTATCCGTCTTTGGAACCCAGCCCGCAAGGCGCTGTTTTAGCAATATGCTCATGTGCTTCCAGATTTTACCCAAGCAGAGGGTCTTCTTGTCGTGGATGGCTTGTACGACACATGGACCCCATCCTATGAGCTGCTCTTGCAATAGATCGTCGACCCGGTACTGCGTTCCCAGCAATAGAGCAGAAATGTAGGCACCGCTGGAAGTACCACTTGCGCGATCGATTGTGACTCCTGCATGCTGCAGCGCAAAATAAGCACCAAGAGCGTACAAGCTCTTGGCGCCCCCTCCTGCAATCGCCAGGTCCGCGCAATTGGCCCCAAATGTTGCCTTCAGCTTCGCAGGGTCATAAGCTGACAACTGAGCCTTGATATCACTAACCAGCTGCGGGATAGCCTGGCGGGCCACCGTGCTCTGCGGGTAGTTCTGATACGAGCGTGCGTAAAAACGCAGAGCCTCTTTGCTCCGTCGCCACTGGTCCAGGGCCAAAAGCAACAGCGACATGCACAGCGTGGATACCCTCCACCTGCGACAGAGCAGCGCGTAGCATGCTAATCCGCCACCGTGCTGCAGCCAGTGAGTGGAGTGACCTCAAGCCCCTGAGAATTCCCAGTGTGGACCGCTGCAACGGACTGTGGGATTCGGACCCACGGGGTCCCAAGGGCCCGTTTTAAAGCTTTTTCTCGGATCTCGTGGGCCGTCCTTTGGGGGCCCCGAGGGCCAGCCCGGAGAGGCCAAAGCCATTGAACACAGACACGGTGTGAAGATTTGGCTGTCGCAGATGATCTCAGGTGGGCTCCGAGGACTCTCAGAGGGGCCCGATAGAGGGAGCTCGAACTGCAGTTTGGAGGACTCCCAACCCCTATGGAAGCAGGCCTCTTGTCCACGATCCAAGCACGGTGGCCGGATGGGCCAAAGGCCACTGGATCCGCCGCCCCCTGTCGATTCATCGCAGAGTGCCTGGCGTGCTGGATCCTCTCGGCTTTGGTTTTGGTTCTTTTTCCAAAAGAACTCCCCCTGGGGCCTCGGCCCGTCCCGCCGGCCACCCGGAAAGGTGCTCAATCCAGAAACATATCGTCTAAGATGGCTCAAGAAACGGCCGTTTCGCTCGGGACATCCTCAACAAATCGCGAAGATGGCCCAAGATGGCCTCCACGACGGCCCAACAGAGTCGAAAATGGCCCAAGACGGCCCAAGAGGCCCCCCAGAGGCCTCCCAGACGGCCCAAGAGGCCTCCAAGAGGTTCTCCAGGATGGCCCGAAGAGGCCAAAATCATTGATGTTCCTTAGGTTTTTGAAGGATTTGGGAATTTGCTTCTTCTCGGCATTCCGACGGCTCAAGACGGCCCAATAGGCCCCCAAGATCGCCCAAGAGGCCCCCAAAAGGGCCCCATGACGGCCCAAGTGGCCTCCAAGTTGGCCCCCAAAGGGCCCCAAGACGGCCCAAGAGGCCTCCAACACGCCAAAGATGGCCTCCAAGACGCCCAAGATGGCCTCCAAGACGGCCCCGAAGCGCCCCAAGAGGGTCCCCCGTTGGCCCAGAAGGCCCCCAAGACGGCTCCCGACGGCGTCAGACGTGCCAGGAACCCACCAAGATGGCCGAAGTTGGCTCCAAGCTGGCCCAAGACGGCTCAAGAGGCCCCCAAGAGGGCCTCCACGAAGGAGGGAAAACACCAACAACCTTGATTTTCCCAAGGTTTTCAACGGATTTGTTCATTTCCTTCTTTTCGGCCTTCCGACAGCCCGAGACGGCCCAAGAGCTCCCAAAGATCGCCGAAAGATCGCCCACGAGGCCTCCAAGACGGCCAAGATGACCTTCAAGATGCCCACGTGTTCCCCGAAGGCTTTCCAAACCGATTCGGGGAACACATGGTCCGATGGCTTGGCAGGTCTGGCCTCAACGTTCGGCCACATAGGCGCGTCCAAAAAGGCAGGGGGCGGCGGTGATTCGCCGTAGGCGTCTTCGATCCGCCGCCCCCTGTTGATTGATTTATCACAAGGGGTGCCTGGCGTGCTGGACGTCTGGGTGGATTTTGGCTCTCTTCTTAAGAACTCCCCGTGGGGCTTCGGCCCAGCCTGCTGGCCACCTGGAACGATCCACAAAGACCACAACACATCTCCCCAAGACTTTCCAGATGGTCTCAGATGGCCTCCAAGACGGCCACGATTGCCCAAGATGGTGCCAATATGTTTCCAAGACCTCCCAAGATGCACCCAAGACGGCCTAAGATGGCATTCAGATGGCCCAGCATGGCCCAAGAAGGCCCCAAGAGGCCTCGAAGACAACCTACAAGATGCCTCAAGCCCGAAGACGTACAACTACTTGATTTTCTACACTTTGGGTTTTTGCTCCGTTTCGGGCTTCAGACGGCCCAAAACGGCCCAAGACGGCCACCAAGATCGCTCCCAAAGTGCACAAGAGCCCGCCAACATGGCCCCAAGACGGCCCAAGGAGCTCCCAAGACGGCCCCCAAAACGCCTCAAGACGGCCCAAGAGGCCTCCAAGACGCCCAAGATGGCCTGTAAGACGACCCTGAAGCGCCCCAAGAGGGCTCCAAGGCAGCCCAGAGAGGCTCCCAAGACAGCTTCCGACGGCGCCAGACGCGCCAGGAACGCAGTAAGATAGCCAAAGAGGCCCGCAAGAAGCCCCCAACGGCCTCCAAGAGGCCCACGGAGGCCCCACGAAGCCTCCAAGTGGCCCCGAGGAAGCTCCCAGGAGCCCCAAGAATGACCTAAGAAGCTCTCAAGAGGTCTCCTCATCCTTCTCCTCATCCTCCTTTTTCCTCCCTCTCTACATCCTCCTCTTTCTCTCGCGTGTTTCCTGAAGGGCTTCCACAACGGCTAGGGGGAACGCATGGTCCAATAGCATGGCCAAACTTTCCCGAAACGTTGCGGGCGCACATGCGTATCCTAGACGGCAGGGGGCGGCGGTGATTCGCCGTAGGCGTCTTCGATCCGTCGTCCCCTATGACTTGCCACAAGGGGGCCTGCCCCGTGGACAAGGTCCTCCGCCAACCACGCTTAGGTCGGGCATGGTTGAAGGGGCCCCAGGACACACAAATAAATGCACACACGTAAAACTATTCCCTATATTATCATATATTTTCAAGGTTTCTGTCTTCCCCCCACTTTCCATATTTTCCCATATTTTCTGGGGAATCGAGGATTAATTGTGTCTGTGTGTTTCTTTTCCTACGGCGTGCTGCTTTTTGTGGTGTTTGGTTCTCCTAGAACGCCCGGTGGGGTTCCGGCCCAACCCGCCAGCCGCCCAGAAGGCAGTGGAGGATCTCCCCCCCTCGTTGGCCAACTCGCCTCCAGCACGGCCGAGACAGCCCAATGATGGCCTCAACTCGCCATCGCTCGGACGTCCATTTCCTGTGCTTTCTTCGGTTTCGTGCGTGGTCTTTTCGCCAAATGATAAAGGATGCTCCTCGATGGTCCTCGCCGGGGAAAAAAAACGCACACGTCCGAGCGATGCCAGGTCAAAGATGGCCACAGGACGGGCAAGATGGCCCCAAGAGAACCCGAGGTAGCCCCACGACGACCTCCAAGACGGTCCCAAACGTGCCCTCGAAGACCACCAAGATGGTCCACGATGACCTCCAAGACGGCCCAAGAAGCGCCCCAGTGACCCCCGAGACGGACTGCCCGAGAGGCCTCCAAGAGGTCCTCCAGGACGGCCGGCAGAGGCCAACGTTGTTGTTTCTCTGCGGTCGGTGAAGGATTCGGGTGTTCCCTTCCGAACGGCCCAGGAGGCCCTCGAGACTGCCCCAAGATCGCCCAGGGGGCATCCAAGGTGGCCCCAGGACGGCCCAAGAGACTTCCAAGACCCCCCAAACTGGCATCCAAGACGACCCCGAAACGCCCCGAGAGGGCTCCGACACGGTCTGGAGACGTCCCCAAAGACGGCCTTCGGCGGGCCAGGAACGCCGTAAGACTGCCAAAGGGGCCTCCTTCGTCTCCCCTCCTCCTCCCCCATCCCTTCTTCCCTTCCCTTCCTCCTCCTCCTCCTCCTTCTCTTCCCCTCCTCCTCCTCCTCCTCCTCCTCCTCCTCCTCCTCCTCCTCCTCCTCCTCCTCATCATTCCCCTTCTCCCCCTTCCACCCTTCACCCAAAACACCCCAGAAGGCCCTCAAGAGGCCCAAGGAGGCCCTACACAGGCCTCCAAGAGGGTTCCAGGAAACTCCCAGGAAGCACCAAGAATGACCGAAGAAGCTCCCAAGAGGTCTCCTCATCCATCTGCTCATCCTCCTTCGTCCTCCCTCTCCTCATCCCCATCCGCGTCCTCCCCCACGTGTTCCCCGAAGGGCTTCCACAACGGCTAGGGGGAACGCATCGTCCGATAGCGTTGCCAAACTTTGCCCAACCGGTTTGGCCGTATATGCGAATCCTACAAGGCAAGGGAGCGACGATTCTTCGCCGTAAGCGTCTTCGATAACATCTGTCTCGAGCGCCCAACCGCAATATGCTGCAAGCACGACTGTGCCATGATGGCTCCAAGTTCGTGGGGCAAGCCTCACATGGCGCTCGGCCTGGAATCTTCAGAATCTTTCTTCAGCGAATGGCTGCATAATGTATGATGGCGACGGTGGACAGCCTGGTTGCAACTGTGGACACGATCCCGCGAACAGCAGGCACCCTGTCCCTTCAAAGCGATGGCAACGACAATAGGTGTGGTAAAGGTCGTGCCCGTGATAGATGGTATCGTGTTTCGTGGAGAACGTGGCAGTGGCAAAGACAGTAGTGGGCAGCGGGCAGCAACAACGGCAACATAAATATCATGTCTGCGCACGACACCATTTGACAGATTTCCACTCCACCCCGCCAAGAGAACTTACACAACAAAGCCACAGCCCACAGGATGCACCATACTTCGTACGCATTGGTTGTGTCAGACACTCAACCACTACATTGCATCTATTGCGCCGTAGGTTGTGATACACACCCCGCCGCACAGCCACGCATCGAGGTTTTTCCCGGTGGGTTGTTTTCCATATGATGCGTAGTATGTTCGGGCCTCGGTTGCATCAGGCACAGAACCACACCATCAAATCAACATTTCCCGAACGATTCTGCCGTCTAATGTTTTCAATAAACCTTACAATGCTCGCTGTTAGGGGACGTTTCCTCATAGGTTGGGCCAAGCACCCCGCCACACAAGAACCTTCGATCAACTTGGTCTTCGTTTGTCATAGTAATGTTGCCGTCGTGCCACAAATTGCGCCAAACACCCCGCGATCCATCAAACCTTCCGCTGCCTTAATGGTGTAAAATTGAGCCTTGACAGCTAGACTCCGCGGTCAATTGCTGCCTTCGCTTTTTGGTGGATCTGAACTGCCAACGCTCCGAGCCCGATCGGGGCAGAGCGATCGCTCGGGAAAACAGCGGTAAGGGATTCGACGGGAGACGAAGTGAACGACGGATGACATGGCAGCGGATGTAGTGAGACCAGGAATCGGCCGGCGCCCAGTCGAACAGCTCATCGACACGGCCACAGCTAGGAAGGCACCAACTATACACCAACACCGATCCTGGCCAGGATCGGTGTTGGTGTATAGTTGGTGCCCTCCGAACAGCTATGAACGCGGCGGCTTGTCGTCCAACCTCCTGGAAGTGCTTTCAAAAGCGCCGGGGAGCCTCGAGCTGGGGCTTCGTGTGGGTTCGAGGCTGTGACCCAGACTCGGGCTCGGGCTCGGAGCTGGGCTTGCACCATTGTGCCGCGGACCTCCCTGACGTGATACGAGACTGTGCCGTGGACCCCACTGGCGAGATGCAAAACTGGAGCTCGAGTCCCCACCCTCCTAGCGCGGTACAAAACTGTACAGCGGAGCCCCCTGGCGCAAAGCAAAACTGTATCGCGCTCACCCCCAGTCGCGACGCAATACCGTACAACGGGCCCCCCCCTGCTGCTACAACACTGCAATCCGAACCCCCACCCGTTTTTCGCGAACCTCCCCCCAACCAGCAACTTTGCCTCTCGAGGATAGCTCTGACAACTCGAGTGGGCATCTTTCCAATGCAGGGGCCTGCAGAATCGCAGCGGTCTCCTGACAGCCGCATGCCATCATGGCCCACAAGGCAGGAGAGCCCAGAATCGAATCGACAAATCGGATCGGCGATCGACATGAAGCGGATCGGCGGAAATCGGCGGCCGAGTCGGGACAAATCGAATCGGCGAACATGGGCAAGCTAATATGCCTCCATTGAGGAATCGGAGCCCAAACCGGAGTCCCAAGTCGAATCGAATCGGAATCGGAAGCCATCGAAATCGAATCGAATCGGAGGAACCGAAACGAGCCCCGACAAAGGGGGAGGCTCTTGAACAGCCAAACCCGTGGCAGTTGAGAGAGCATGCCGTTTTTCAATTGTCGAAGGCTGGGGAGCGGGGGATCTGGGCGGGAACCCGGCGCCGCGGCCGCGATCCTTGCGGCGCGTCGGCCGGTCGGTCGAGCAGACCCTTGCTGACAGAATGGCGCCCCTCGGGTCTCCTCTTTCCGCTCCCGCCTTCCTGCTGCGTGTGTTCTCTTCCTCGTCTCCCCCCTCCTCCACGCCCTAGTGCTCCTTTTCCTCTTCCTCCTCCTCCTCGTCTTCCCCCTCCTCCACGCCCTATTGCTCCTTTTCCTCTTCCTCCTCTTCATCTTCCACGGCGGGCGCCCGCTTGAACACCCACACGCCCTACCTCGTGCCCAAATGCCTGGAGTAGTGATTCTGTCATGCCCCATTTTGCCAGTCACTGTGGCACGCACGTTTAACTCATGGCAGAGCTGACGACCACTTCCACTTCCAACACCGTTCAGCCACCCGTCCCGTCCCGCTTCACACAACACTTGGAAGCGCTACTGCTGCTCACCGTGCCTTTTCACTGGTCACCGTCTCGCTGCCTTCATAACCTACAATGCTGTACTAAGCCATGACACTCCGTCCATGAATGCTTCAAGAGAAACGGAGCCTCACGAATCTCGTAGTCCCATCTTGTCGACTCCCTCATGGGCAGCAGACGGGTATGACGGTGTGACTGAATGACCCCTTGCTCAAATGGTCAGCCAGATCGCGCATTATCTCAGTGGCATCGCCTCTCTGCAGTCCCAAATGCCCTCCCCCTCGCCTTTAGACGCTTGTGTGATACGCCACCGTGCCCCATGGCGCGGTGAGGCGTGCCAGCCGCTAGACTGCCAAGTGCTGCCTTTGCATGTTGCCTGTACTCGTCTGACACGGGACCACCACCCCCGGACGTCGCATTCCCCTGCGCGCCCCGACCCCTCTTTCCGAAGCCCTGTCGGCGCCCACGCACGTCCGCAGCGCTCTCCGAGGCGTCGCAGATGCCCGAGATGTTTTCTCGAACGGCCCAGGCAGGCCACCCAGGCCGCCACCACGAGCCGAGAGGCCCTCCACGACGGCCCTAAGACGGCTCCTGGAGAACCTCCAGCAAGGCCCGCGGCAAACATCGCTGATGCTCCAAGAAGAAGTTTTTTTTGGCAGAGTTCCACATGGTCGCTGTGTCGAGCTTCCGTCGGCTCAAGATGGCCCAAGAGACCTCCCAGATGGACCGACGACGACCCAAGAGGGCTTCAAGATAGACCAAGAGGCCCCCAAGACGGCCTCAAGACAGCCCAGGAGGGTTTCTGGACAACCCAGGGTGGACTCAAGAACGCCACAGCTGGTCCGAAAGGGCCTCCAGAAGGACCCACAACGGCCTAAGAGGACTCCTGGAAACCCAAAGACGGCCCAACGATGGCCCCAAGAGAGCCCCAAGACAGCCAAGAGAGCTCCAAGAAACCCCCAAGACTGCCTTTCGGGAGCCCAGGCTGCTCCTCCTCATGTTTATCACTACTAGCGTCGTAATCCTCATCATCACCATCAGCAACATCACCATTAGCACCTTCATCCTCATCGTCATCCTCGTCATTCTCATCACCATCACCATCAATATCACTGTTACCATCGCGATCATCACGCACAGACAGCCTCAAAGAAGTACATGAGCGCTCCTCAAGAAGCGACGACAGAAGTGTGACCTGTGACGACTTCCCTCCTCCACATCCGATGCTCCCCAGGACAGCCCAGCACCAGTGGGCCGTACACTGATTCTGCGGACCTTGTCGATAGCCTCCAACTCCCACCCCTCCACTGTACACGTTGCACTCTCCGCCGGACATGGCTGGACTGGCACGGTGTTTAGACTTGCCGCAGGCAGCTGGACACCGTTCTGCGCGAGTGTGACAGGAGCCACCTCTCACCTTTACGAACTCTGCGAGCTTTCTGACAGGGCCTTCCTGAAAGAGCGGACGCTACGAACATCCATGCGCGTCCCGATCGGGTAAGGTCTGGCAAGCTGGCCCAGCGGCCCGCCCAACCCTCTGGCTGCCACCGCAAGCGGGTGGCAACCCCGCGCCGCCGACCTTCCCTGGCCGGCGCGGGCCCCTGCTTGCCGTCACGGCAGTCTACAGTCGAGATGCTACCGAAAGGGCGGGTGAATTAAGAACGAAGCCCCTTTTAGGCATCAGAAGCGCGCGGGTGCACGAGCAGGGATAGGAGGAACAGCCAAGGGGCGACCCAAGGACGGCCCAGCGCTGGGTTGAGAAACGTGCACGCGATCCCCACACGTGGTGGTACGGCCAATGTCCAGAACTGTGCTTCTGCCGTCGAGGACGGCAGGTGGGAAAGGGCACCCGGCTGCCCTATCTCGGGCGGCGCCCGCGAGAGAGAGGTGCGAGGGGGACGGCCTTCCGAGGGCGGGAGCATCCCCCAGCTTCTCAGGAGCCGCCCCAGAAAACCCCGTGGCCTTCCACGATGAAGGGGCCCAGGGACACACACATACATACCTACATACACACAACTCCCAACCTGCCCATCTGCCTGCTTCTCAACATTTTCTGGATGCTCGTCTTCTCTCGGGGGCGGCCAAGAGGGGGGCGTCCAAGAGGGGGGGGGCGCAAATCATGATCGGCGGCATGTGCGCGGCCCGAGGGGGGGCTGGGGACGTAATGCAACAAGAAGAAACGCCATGAAATCGGGGGAAATCCGCTGATCCGGCGTGCGTGTTTAAGAAGTCTAAGCTGAAGCTCTGCTTCAGCATGAGCTTTAGCTCTGCTTGGGAGCGGGGGGGTAACTGGTTAACAATTCTCTAGTTCGCGCGCGCGGGGCGGCCCCTGGGGGTCCCCGGACGAAAAGTACCCGGGGCGAGTCCCGGCTGATCCCCGGGCGACTCCACCAGAGCGCTCCATGAGCGCACCAACAGGGCTCCGAGACGTCCCCGAAAGCCCCAAGAAAGGCCAAGAGGCCCCCAAGAGGCCCCCAAGATGGTACACGAGGGGTCCGACATGCCACAAGATCGCTCCAAGACGCCCAAGATAGCCCCCAGACGCCCCAAGAGGCCTCCAAGAGCACTTCCAAGAGGGCCCCAGGAGGCAAAATTCATTGCTTTTCCTTAGGTTTTTGAAAGATTTTGGAGTTTCCACCTTTTCGGCTTCCCGACGCCCCAAGACGGCCCAAGAGGCCCCCAAGATCGCCCCAAGAGGGCCCAAGAGGCCCCCAAGAGGGCCCAAAGATGGCCCAAGAGGGCTCGAAGACGGCCCAAGAAGCCTCCAAGACGGTCCAAGAGGGCCCCAAGAACGCTCCCAAAGGGGCCCCAGAGAGGGAACACGAAACAACATTTCGAGCCCTCGGCCCTGAGAAACCCCCACGAGGCCCCAGGAGGCCCCTAAGAGGCCCCAAGAGGCCCCCACGAGGCCCTCAGGAGGCCCCCAAGAGTCCCCCAAGCGGCCCCAGGAGGCCCCCCAAATGCCCCCCCGAGCACGCAAACAAGTGCAAGCGATGCTACGATGTGCTCTCCTTTCGGTAGACTCCCAACGGGGCCCCTACAGACTTGCAACAAGCGTCAAGAACCTGCCCAAAAAGCATTGTCCAGGAGCGTTCACAAATGCCGCGAAGAAGCCCTCCTTACGCCGGAAAGCCCGGAAAGCCGGGTGGGGCGAGCTGTTTTTCTCACCACCGCGCCCTCTCACACAATGGCTTCCGCACGCCGCCCAGAGCGCGATGCTTCCCATCACACCCCCGACGACGACGACGACGACGACGACGACGACGACGACGACGACAGAAACAAGACAAACAAGATGCGGCACGCTGCGGTTCTGCGGACACACAAATAAATACACACACATCTACCCCCCCTCTCGCCCCAAGGGGCCCCGAAGAGCCCCCCAAGAGGCCCCCGGGGAGCCCAATACGCCGCCAAGGAGCCCCAAGACGCTCCCAAGAAGCCCCCAAGACGGCCCCAAGAGGCCCCAAATAGCGCTCCAGGGCCGGCGGAATGAGCGAAGCGATTCAATTAACTGAAGGAAAAAAGTGCTCGGCACCTCTCCCCCCCCCTGCCAGCCCCCAGGAGAGAGGGGGGGGGCAGTAGAGAGGAGGGGGGAGGGGGGGGACAGGATAGATGGGCGGGGGGACAGGAGAGAGGGGGGAAAAGGATAGAGGAGGGGGGGGACAGGAGAGGGGGGGGGCAGGAGAGAGGGGGGGGGACAGGAGAGAGGGGGGGGGGGGGGGAGAGGGTGAGGGGGGGGACAGGAGAGAGGGGGGGGGGAAGGAGAGAGGGGGGGGGGGGAAAGGAGAGAGGGGGGGGGGAAGGAGAGAGGGGGGGGGGACAGGGAGAGGGGGGGGGGGACAGGAGAGAGGGGGGGAGGGGGGGGGCAGGAGAGAGGGGGGGAGGGAGAGGGGGGGGGGACAGGAGAGAGGGGGGGGGCGCGGCAGGAGAGAGTGGGGGGGGGGGAGTGAAAGAAGAGAGGGGGGGACAGGAGAAGAGGGGATGGGGGACAGGAGAGAGGAGGGGAGGTGTGGGGGGGGGGCGGGATCATCACCATCTCCATCACCATCACCATCACCATCACCATCATCACCGTCACCATCGTCACCATCACCATCACCATCAACATCACCACCATCATCATCATCAACATCATCTCCATCAGCATCGACATCATCACAATCAGCATCATCATCCGCATCAGCATCAGCATCATCATCAGCATCATCATCATCATCAGCATCATCATCAGCAGTCTCATCATCATCAGCATCAGCATCATCATCAACATCATAATCAGCAGCATCAGCATCAGCATCAGCATCAGCATCAGCATCAGCAGCACCAGCACCAGCACCAGCATCAGCATCAGCATCATCACCATCACCATCATCATCAGCATCAGCATCATCAGCATCAGCATCAGCATCAGCATCAACATCAGCATCAGCATCAGCATCAGCATCATCATCATCATCAGCATCAGCATCAGCATCAGCATCAGCATCAGCATCACATCATCATCACCATCACCATCACCATCACCATCACCATCACCATCACCATCACATCACCATCACCATCACCACCACCACCACCACATCATCATCATCCATCATCACCATCATCATCATCATCATCATCATCATCATCATCATCATCATCATCATCATCATCATCATCATCATCATCATCATCATCATCATCATCATCATCATCATCATCATCATCCGGAGCGCCCCGGATCGGCGGCACTGGCCGGAGGCTACTACAAGATCATGGCCCACGCCATGATATCCCCCCCCTAGTCATTACCCCCCTCTTTGCGGACCCCGATTCTCCGCCACTTTCCCAGATGTTCCGTATTTTCTGGGGCAGTCGACGGTCCTTTGTGCCCGTGTGTCCTTCTCCTTTCTGTGCAGGGCGCCCCCCCCGCGCCCTCTTGGCGGCCGCCCCCCTCCTCCTCCTACCTCCTCCTCCTCCTCCTCCTCCTCCTCCCCCCTCCGACCTCCTCCTCCTTCCCCTCCTCCTCCACCCTCTCCTCCTCCCCTCCCCTCCGCCTCCCCTCCCTCCTCCTCCTCCTCCTCCCTCCTCCCCATCCGACCTCCTCTTCCTTCCCCTCCTCCTCCACCTCCTCCCCCTCCTCGTCCTCCTCCACCTCCACCACCCTCCTGCTGCTGCGCCACCAACTCACCAACGCCAGAGCAGCACGTACAGCAAGCGGCGGTCGCGCCAGAAACGGCTGCCCTCCTCGAACCAGCCGGCGACGGCGCTCTGGTCCTGCCCGGCGCCCGAGCAGGGGTACGAACGATGACGACGATGATGATGCTGCTGCTGATGATGACGATGATGCTGATGGTGATGACGGTAGTGAGGATGACGACGGTGATGCTGACAATGATCACTGATGGTGGTGATGATGACGTCGATGGTACTGATCACTGATGGTCATGATGACCAATGATGATGACGAGGATGATGGTGATGCTGAGGCTGATGATGAGGATGGTGATACGGCTACAGATGCTGATAATGATAATGGCAATGATGAGGATTATGCTACTGATGATGACGACGATGATGGTGATGATGATGCTAATGAAACTGATGCTGATGTTGCTGATGATGATGATGACGATGATGAGGATGATCGGTGGATCGGTGGTGAATGCTGCTCTCACCGATGTGGTGATGGTGACGGTGATGATGGTGATGATGATGCTAATGGAACTGATGCTGATGATGCTGCTGATGATGAGGATGACCATGATGAGGATGGTCGGTGGTGAATGCTGCTCTCACCGATGTGGTGATGGTGATGATGACGATGATGATGCTGATGCTGCTCATGATGCTGCTGATGATGATGAGGATTCTGATGATGCTGAACATGATGACGACGACGACCACTGGTTATTATAATCGGTGGTTGCGATGGCGATGATGCTGCTGATGCTGCTGCTGATGCTGTGTTCAAGCAGTCATACGCCTGCAGCTTACCAGCTAAACTCTCGAGCCCTTGATCCTCCCTCCCCCAGAACGTATCACAGATGTCATGGTATTCCTCTTCCTCTTCCTCTTCCACGTTTTCGTTATCTTCAGTATCCTGATCCTCCTCATCATTCTCCTGCTCCTCCTCCCTCCACCGCCTGCAGCCCCCCCAGCCTCACTTCTCCCATATTACTTGCTCCCCTCGTCCATCTTCTCTCCCTCCCTGCAATCCCTCCTCTTCCTCCTCCTACTCCTCCTCCTCCTCCCCACTCCTTAAACACCTTCTCCACGTCCCTCTCCTCGCCGCCATCCTCTTCCCCCCTCTCTCCCTCCTCCTCCTCCTCCTCCTCCTCCTCCTCTTCTTCATCCCCCTCCTCCATCTGTTCCCTCTCTTCCCTTTCCTCCCTCCCTCCTCTGTTTTTTTCCTCCTGGCACTGGCCCTCCTTCTCTTCCTCATCGTCTCATAATCTCCTTTCCTGCCTGATACAATCAAAATCCGTAATCGTCTTTCCCTAATCTCTCCTATGTCGTCTCCTGGCCCTCCTTCGGGTCCTCCTTCTCCTTCTCATCGTCTCATATTTTCCTTTCCCTCCTCTATCCCTCTTACCCATACTCTTCTTTTCTTCCCCACCGTCTCATCCTCTACAGTCAGAACGCATAACAAGGATGCGCGGTAAGGATGCAGGGGCCTCGGAAAACCATGTCGACGCTTTTCGAGCTGTGCTCGGCCAGCGAAAATGCCCAAGGATGAGCCGAACGGGAAGTCGCTTAAGCTGACTATGCCATCTGACTGTAATCCCCCCTGGGCGTCCATGCTGGTGTGCTCGTGGAAGGAGGTCATATACCTCGGCAGCTCGTGAGCAGAAGGGGGCCCTGTCCTTCTCCTTCGCCTTCTGCTTCTTCCTCCTCCTCCTCCTCATTCTCCTTCCTTCGCTTAATCCTTCTTTTTCATGATTCCGTCCTTATATATCTCTCCTCCTCCTTCTTCTTCTTCCTCTTCTTCTTCTTCTTCCTCTTCCTTCCTTCTCCTCATCCTTCTCCTTCTTCCTCCCTCCCTTCCTTCACGTCCTCCTCCTTCTCCCTCCTCCTCCTTCCTGTCCCCTGCTCCTTCTCGCTCTCCTGCAGAATGGTAGGAACAGGAAGAGGCTGTGGAAGAAAGGGATGGGGGGAGGGTGGGACGGGGGGGTGGATGAGGATCGGGGGCGGGGGGGCGGGGGGGCAGGAGGGGAGAGGGGCGGAAGGTAGGGGAGATGGGAGGGGCGGGGAGAAGAAACAGGGGCTGCGCCGCATCGCCTCATCCTCATCCCACTCCTCCTCCTTCTTCTCCCTGCGCGCCTTTCTGGAGCTGCGGGATCACCCTGAGGTCCGAGTAATTAGATCGGGTCGGGAGATCGCGCCGCATCGCCGTTGCACCGGCGACGTCGGTGATGCATCGGCGACGCCAGCGTGAAGAAACATCAGGCTCCACATCGTGCTGCATCATCGAGTCGGCGGCGTCCAAGAGGGGGGCGTCCAAGAGGGGTGTGTTCGTATCATGGGCACGTGCGCGGTCCAGGATGGCCACGAGACGCATTGACATGAGAAGAGGGGGCCATAACATGTGGGGAGACATCATCTCCCTCTTTGCCGTCCCAAATCGATGCATCGGCGATGCGGCGCGATCCACCGACCCCATCTACTTCGACCCCATCCCCCCGACCTACTTCGACCCCATACTCGCCATCGCTCGGACGTCCATTCCCTGTGTTTTGTTCGGTTTCGTGCGTGGTTTTTTCGCCAGATGATCAAGGATGCTCCTCGATGGCCCTCGCAGAAAGAAACATGCACACGTCCGAGCGATGCCAGGCATATGTAAGACGCAGCCAGGACCAAGGCAAACTCGCAGGGGCACATCGGGGACTTCTGACATCTGGCGGTTCTGGAGGATGCCTCTTCGGTCGTCGAGCAGCCGCTCCAGCGCAATGCCGAATGCACGGAGAGCGTTCTGGGATGCTGAGGAGGAGAGGAGGAGAAGGAGGAGGAGGAGGAGGAAGAGGAGGAGGAGGAGGAGGAGTGGAAGGAGGAGGGAGGAGGAGGAGAGGAGGAGGAGGAGGGAAGGAGGAGTAGTTTGAGGAGTATGAGGAGGAGAGGGAGGAGGAGGAGGAGGGAGGAGGAGGGGAGGAGGAGAGAGGAGGAGGAGGAGGAGGAGGAGGAGGAGGATGGAATGATTCGCAGCCAAGCTGCTGCAGTAAGGGACGCCACACAAGGAACGAAGCCCTCTTCTGGCACCAGCAGCGGCTGGATGCACGAGGAGGGCTGACGAGGAGCAACCATGGACTCACCCGAGGAGCAGCGGGCCTCCTCTGAACCCGAAGCGGCTCCTTATTGCAGAGTCTCGACGGCATCCCTCGTCGCAGCCCCGCCCGAACTTGGGTAAACCAGGGCTAGGATCGGGATAAATCGCTCCAGAGCGTTCTGGAGCGCTCTCAGAGCGTTCCGGAACGCTCTGGAGCGGCCGCGGCGCCCAATACATCCTCCAAACCCGCCGATTCTCAGAGATTTCGAGTTATCCCGATCCGATTTTGTCCCGATCTTCGCGTCGTTTTATTGGGCGGCCTGTGGGCGACGGCGGCGGTCGGCGGCGGGGGCACGACAGCGGCGGCGGCGGGAGCTGCTCCAGCGCGCCGGGGACGCCCTGCTGCCGGACGTCCTGGCCGCCCGGCCCCCGGCCGGGGGGGGGGGGGGGCGGGGTTGGCAGGAAGGGCGCGGGTCCTGAGGAGGTTCGGTACAGTGGGGGCTCGGCCACGAGAAACCTCCGCAAGAAACCCAACCCTGAAATACGCGATTTGTTCAGTGAGAATCCACATGTGTCGATCGAAAATCGTCAAGATCTGATTGGGAGCCCATCAAAATCCAAGAAACCCAGGGCACCCTGGCAAAATCCAACTGGTTTCTTGGCACGCGCCCCCACTGTATGGTGTGTGTGTGTGTTTCATCCATCTTCCCCAGCATTTCGTCGACCGCCCCTCTGTGAAGAACAATTTCAAGGAAAAAACTGCAATCCACAGCAATGGAAGCCATGAGGTCAGGCAACCGTGCTTGGCGCAATATTTTCAGCGTGCCGGGCCGGCGATCCGCAGTTATCGGGCGGGTGGCGATCGGGGGTGACCTGAATTTGGGGGGGGAAGTGGGCCCTGAAGGAGCCGTTTCTTCACTCCCTATGTAGGTCACCCCCCACTACCACCCACCCAAGGTTACTTCTCGTGCGAGTTCTGGTCTGAGGGTTCTTCGTAGAAAATCTAGGCTTGTGGACGTTTATCGTCCCTCTTGTGCCTCTGGGTGGGGGGGCGGAACATGGGGGGGACCCCACCCCCTCCTGTGTGCAAGGGGGGGGGGTCGAACCGGCAGGGGGGGGGCCCCCCCCGTCCAGGGGGTGGGTTCGAACCAGAAAGAGGGGGGCCCACCCCCGCAAGGGGAGAGGGGGGGAGTTCGAACCGGGGAAGGGGGAACCTCTCGTCCCCGTCGCCAGATGCCCCCAGAAAAGACACATCCGGGGAACGATCTTCTGGGGCTCGCCGTGGATTTTGGCGGCGAGCGCGGGGGGGAAGTGCGAATGGGGCGGGCATTCTCGGAGGTCTAGGAAGCCCCGCGGCCTTCTGAGCAGTTTTCGGAGCCTTCCCGCAAGATGCAACAAGTCTTCTCAGAAGGCGCGGGGGCCCGTTGAGAAGTCCTGCCGCCTTCTGAGAAGGCCTCCTCCTTCTCGCCCCCTCCCTCGATCGCCGCCGAAGCGAAGGAAAGAGGTGCTGGGGGCACCGGGTCCTGGCTCTCCGCTCCCCGTCTTCGAGCCCCTTCGCCTCGCCATCTCGCGGGCGCCCATCCCGCGTGCATTTGCCAGCCCGCGAGATGATCCAAGATGCTCCTCGATGGCCCTCGCCGATGCATAAATGGAGGGGGGGCGATCAATTGGGGGGGAAAGTCAGGTGCCCCCACTCGTGCCCTTCAGGGCCCCGTTAGGGGCCCTAAAGGGCGCCCTCAGGGGCCCCACAGGGCCCCTGAGGGTGCCCTCAAGGGCCCCAGTTCCGTAGCCCTCGCTGCTCTCCCATCGATCCCCCCCCATTACGCGCCCCCCAAAGGGGCAACAAGTCCTGGATCTCCGCTCCCCGTCTTCGAATCCCCTGCGCTGTCCGTCGCTCGGGCCTCCCTTCTGAGTGCGTTTTTGGTATCGAAAGGAAGAGAAGAAGGAGAAGGAGGAGGCGGAGGATGAGGAGGAGGTGGACGAGAAGGAGGAGAAGCACGAGGAGGGGGATGATGATGATGATGCTGATGATGATGAGGAGGAGGAAGAGGAGGAGGAGGAGGAGCACGAGGAGGAGGAGGAGGAGGCGGACGAAGATTTTTTTCCAACCATCCTGTGGTGTTGGGTCCTCGTTTTGAAGAGACAGCCCCCCGCGTCCCACCTCCTTCCTCCTTCCTCCTCCTCTCCTCCTCCTCCTCCCCCCTCCCACATCCTCGACTTTGCTCTCCGCATGTCTCAGCTCACCCCCTCCTCCCATCATCATCATCATCATCATCATCATCATCATCATCATCATCATCATCATCATCATCATCATCAGCATCACAATCAGCCTGCAACTTGCAGCACAGCTATTCATCACATTAACCGATCGAGGCACCAGCACCAGCACCATCACAGCACCCGTCACCATCACCATCACCATCACCATCACCATCACCATCACCATCACATTCACAATCCACCATCAACCATCATCCACCTCATCCTCATCCTCATCCTCATCCTCATCCTCATCCTCATCCTCATCCTCATCCTCATCCTCATCCTAATCCTCATCCTCATCCTCATCCTCATCCTCATCCTCATCCTCATCCTCATCCTCATCCTCATCCTCATCCTCATCCTCATCCTCATCATCATCAACACCATCATCGTCATCATCGGCATCGCCATGGCTGATTCGTTGCGTGGCCCCATAGGGAGCTCCACCGAAGGCCCCAGTGGGGGTGCCCGCATGCGTCCCCCACGCCCAGCACAGCGTTTTGTGGCCCCATAGGGAGCTCCACCGAAGGCCCCAGTGGGGGTGCCCGCATGCGTCCCTTACGCCCAGCACAGCGTTTCGTGGCCCCATGGGGAGCTCCACCGAAGGCTCCAGTGGG